GAAGATAGGGTTATGAACCGTTCAACTGAATTTGAACAAAACAATGTTCCACTCAACAGAACTGAATAGGGAAAGGGATCATGGACCACTTAATGAAATCCGAACATAATACGGTTCCGGACCACTCAATGGAACCAGATAGGAAAAGGAATTTTGGACCACTCGATGGAATCTAAACATAACACGATTCCGGACCACTTAACGGAACCACGTAGAAATAGGGATTCTGGACCACTCAACGAAATCTAGGCAAAAGCGGAAGACGGTTCTTGAGCACTCAACGGAACCAACTAGCATTCTAAAAACCTAATTTTGAACAACTCAAAGGAACTAGATAGGATTGAGTTTGGTATCACAACTCTCCTTAACCATGGGTCAACAATCCTCTACTAGCCCTCTTATTTCACAAACATTTCAATTATCCATAGCAAAACACATTTATAAATCTTTGCTAGCACAAAGATCAAGGCGCTTACAAACAATTACCGCCTAAACAAAGTCCAAGTTCGTCTTAGAATTCTATTGATAAAACACTTAATTCTAGGTTATACACGTCAACTACAACATTCAATAATGATTTTAGGATATATTGACCAAAAGTTTCAACTCTGAATCAATGGTAAGGTCAACAACCCAACGTAATTCAATCTTGATGAGCTGCACATTAAATTTATGATGCACAAGTTCCCAAGATCCTCCAATAATATGCACAACAACATAGTATAATTTCATGATGATCCAACAGTTGGAATTTCATCTACCACAAAGGTCAAGTGAAGGACCTTTACGAAACTAGGCTTAAACAGTGGAATTACGTCAAGCAGATGCCAAAAACAGATTCAGGGCATCGAAAATAGCCTAAGAAGGCAAAGTAGGTCATTGTGACCATGCGCCACCGCTATGCGGCGACCAACAGCCACAACTTGCAGGAAACCGACCAATACCAAAATTGACTCATAATATGTCAAAATGAAGCTGGCGAAGAGTACAACAATTTTTATACCTTTGCGGGAAAAACTACCTCGATTTTTTTCGTGACTCAAAAGTGTCCTCTTGTTAAACTATGTTCCAAGATGACATATTTCCTTGCAGGCAAAAAACTCTTGGTCATCATACACAGGGCTAGAAGTGTTACTTGGTCCAAGGGCAGTTTTGTGGAGATTTCTTATACACGAGGTAAATTTTTTCATAACTTACCTGTTGAAAGTAACACTTTTTTTAAGTTCCAATTCTTTCTTAAAACGTGCAATGAATGAAAAGATTGTACATGCACCATGTACCTCGAGGAAAACTGACAAGAAGACCACATTAAGCACATTAATAATTTTGTTCGACAAAAAAAAGCACGTTAATAATTTTGTCAGGGCATTTGCAACTGCAATTGCTGCCATCAAGCGAAGGCTTGGGAACCCATTGGTAATGTGTAAAAAGGTGAACCTTCTCAACTAGACTTAGCATTCATATCGTGTTTCCCGTGTTCATGTTGTTTTCGTGTCATACCCGATATCTTAACGGGTCGTGTCCTGTAACACCTGTTAAAATAAATGGGTAAAATGACCTGACCTGAAATCGACCCGATAATATTAACGGGTAATATGACCTAACATGTTACCTGTTAAGGAAAATATATTTTAAACCAATAAATAATCAAATAAAAAACATAATACTTTTTTTAAGTGAAAAAAAGGTTTGCAAGCCCACCCCCAGTGGGAATAATTGAGCTTATAAGAACAGCAATTTGCTAGTTCCTTTCCATAATAATTATTAATTACAGAGGAAGATTGTCATATAGACAAAATGATATGATTTAGAAGCACACTTGGGTTATGGAATGACACTATTACATGACTATTACACAACTTTAGATCTCAGAGCTCACAATGTAATTATGCAATGCAGAGTATCTCAGGGAGCTATAAATAGGTTCCACATCAAATTCACCAATGCATATTTCAAATGATAAGAAATTCTATTTGATAAAATTGTGACTGAACATGCAGGAAATTCTACCTCAAGCATCTACAATAAACTGGCGCACAACAGGATGGTTGCAATTGAATATGTTACCGCATCCAGAATAATTATAGAACTCTCCCTGTTAAAAAAAAAGGACAATAGATTGAGTTCACAGCGTATGAATGAAGAGACATCAAATAAAAAAAGATGGCACAAGAAAAATGTCACAAAATTCTTCAGTTTACGACACAAACAAGACTCTAGGTCTGGGGCATGCAGTGTAAACCTAACCTTCTTATGGTCTTCCAATTCAATACAGCATATAAGGTAAATGTTTAAAGACCAATATCCATAGGCAAACGAAATATAACAACACTATAATGTTTTGCTGCTTCATTTCAAATTGACCACATAATGGCTATGTAATTCATGAAAAATGTACTCATAGAAGGAAGAAATCTCTGAAATGAAAAACCAAATAAGGGGATAAGTATGATACTGATAAAACTAAACGAGCTACTATGCACGGAGATGTGCCAAATTGGTCCAACACAAGACTGTGAGATTGGTAAAACACTTGTGTTTTAAACAAATTTACATCAAGCAGTAGGGTGCACATCATGTACTTAACAAGCAGTAAACACAGACTCAGCAAATGAAATGCAGAAATTCAAATACCCCCTGAGCAGATTTCAACAGAAAAAGTAAATCAGATATCAGTAGCTAAAATCCAGAATCCCCATATCAATTAACAAGTCATATAATCCAAAGTTAAATCACTGCATGTTGGAACAAATAAAAGATTATCAGATTTTAAAAACAAAACATGGGTTTTTTTTTCAAGAAATGAAAATTCATAATTTCGAATGAAAAATAAGAAATAAAAACATAAGTTTTATGAAGATACAACATTAAACAAATGAAAAGAACAGAGATGTAGAGATGTAGAAACAAAATCGAACCTGGAGTGGAATCTGGAGAATGCAAAGATGTAGAGACGACCAGAGTATAGATGACAAGATCAAGAATGATTCCGTCCAAGCATCCACTGCACGAAGGAGGATAAAAGAGATACTGAGAGAGGTTACCGGAAGAACATACGACGGGAGAGAGGGGCTAGGAAGAACAGGCGGCGGGTTGGGAGAGAGGGTAACGGGAGTAGGGAGATAAAATGGTAAATCGTCAAAATGGTCCCTGAGATTTGCATAACTCATCACTTTGGTCCCTGAGATTCCAAATCGATAAAAGTGGTCCCTGAGATTATCCACCATCCATCATTTTTTGGTCATTCCGTTAAAAACTCCATTAAGTGTCCCGGAGCTCTTGGCTGGAACTTTGGGCAATTTTCAAAGCTTCGTAACTCAATCGTTTCTTAACCAATTTCGACCCATATTATATCAAAATGAAGATAGAAAAGTGTAGAATAAGATTATACCTATTTAAAAGCCCAATGCTTGCCAGAGATGGCCGGAAAATAGCCTCAAAGTTGACTGTTCCAAGTGAAAACTTGAAAACTCGCCGGAAACTAGGTAAATTTTAAACGCTCATAACTTCTTCAATACTCAACGAAATCAAGTAATTCGAAACGAAAATCATACTTCTCGACGAGACAAAGAGAATGGTATCTTTTTTTATGGTTAACTTGATGTGGTTTGGCCAGAAAACGGCTCGAAAGTGGCTAACTCGAGACCAAGATAGCCACTTTTGAGCCGTTTTTCGGCCAAACCACAGCGAGTTAGCCTCCAAAAAAGGTACCATTCTCTTTTTCTCATCAAGAAGTATGATTTTGTTGAGTATTGAAGAAGTTATGAACATTTAAAGTTTACCCAGTTTCCGGCGAGTTTTCAAGTTTTCACTCGGACCAGTCAACTTTGAGGCTATTCTCTGGCAACCATTGGGCTTCGAAATAGGTATAATCTTATTCTATACTTTCCTATCTTTATTTTGATATATTATGAGTCGAATTTGGTTAAGAAACGATTGAGTTACGAAGCTTTGAAAATTGCTCAAACTTCCGACCAAGAGCTCCGGGACACTTAACGGAGTTTTTAATGGAAGGACCAAAATGATGGATGGTGGACAATCTCAGGGACCACTTTTAGCGATTTGGAATCTCAGGGACCAAAGTGATGAGTTATGCAAATCTCAAGGACCATTTTGGCGATTTACCCTAAAAATAAATAATGACCAAAACTTTTTTCAAGTTTTTACTCGGACCAGTCAACTTTGAGGCTATTTTCCGGCCATCTTCGGCAACTATTGGGCTTTGAAATAGTTATAATATTATTCTACATTTTCCTATCTTCATTTTGATATATTATGGGTTGAATTTGGTTAAGAAATGATTGAGTTACGAAGCTTTGAAAATAGCCCAAACTTCCGGCCAAGAGCTCCAGGACATTTAACCGAATTTTTAACAGAATGATCAAAATGATGGATGGTGGACAATCTCATAGACCACTTTTCTCGATTTGGAATCTTAGGGACCAAAGTAATGAGTTATGCAAATCTCAGGGACCATTTTGACGATTTACCCTAAAAATAAATGATGACCAAAGCTTTTTGTTTTAAATTATATAGAATAATAATACAAAACTATATAATATATATTTAATGTAGAATATATTGTATATATTAATATGGCTATTCTATTTTATAATAAATCTTTTAGTAATTAAAGTTTAAAATTATCAAAATAATTTTTTTTCTTATCAGGTTGAAACAAGTTACCCACGTGTTACCCGCGTGTATACCCATTATTAACGGGTTCTTACCGTGTCACCCAATAATGACCCCGATTAGTTATCGTGTTGACCCAAAACCCGTTATATTCGTGTCGTGTCATCGTATTGTGTCATAAACTGCCAGGTCTATTCTCAACCTTAATGAGCTACTCCCATGAAATATATAGAACACAGGCACAAACTCACACACCCACATACACTAACTTCATATATACCTACATATATTTTTTTCAGTACACAGTTTTGGCACGGTGATTTTGGTACATAATGAAAACGAAAGACAAAGGCGACAAATTAGCATGAAGTAATGACTAAATTTGTTAAACTTATCAGGTTGTAAAACTGGGTTACAAATCCCTTAACCATTTGAGCACGGAGTTTTTTGGATTCTAGGCCCTCTTTACTCGGGGAGTACCAAGCAAGACGTCGCACATAGGTTTAACTATTTAGCGCCTAGAAAATGTGAACTGGTAAATATCTATCATACAAGCAGTTAGACACCATTTGACGAAACACTTCGATACAACCACCACATTCAAGCTTGCAAGCTTGAACCCATCACCACATATTAAGTTGCATTGTTACTGCAGAAGATTGGAGAATAGGGCATAGAGTGAGTACTTCCGAAGATTTTTCACCTCATACCAGGAGTTAAGCACTTGAAGATGCTTGTCTGTTCCTGAGAAGGCCAACTGTATGCTTAGGTTGCAGTCAAAAGATCCACCACTGCCTTTACATTTTGAATTTGGAACAGCACAATCTTCATCGTTGAGGCACACAGAATAGTCCCCGGAGCATGCCTTGCACCCGAATTTCTTCCAATACAAATTAAGAAGAGTCCCCCTTTCGAATTCAAGTACCTGCAAAACGAAACACAAGTTCAATGCTTGCTGATGCTTAGAGAGAGAAAGAGAGAGAGAGAGAGAGATTGTACCAAGGTGAAGCTTGTTATGGTGTGTGAGTCATCAGCAACCAATATTGGGGGTGATCTTGCTGCATACTTCCGTCCGGCAAAAGCTACCATGTACCCACCAGCCTTGATCTGTAGAGGAATTTATGGAAAATCATCAAAATTAATTTGACTCATGCAGGAGATAAAACTACCACATTCACTTTAGAGGCTATATGTATGTATATATAGATACCATAAGGTGTTATGTAAGGGAACCCTCAATAGAAGGGGACTACATATATGTAAATTTAGGGTTTCCAGTAGGTTTTGAGTCTTTTCAACCTTTATAGAAGCAAGCGATATTTTACTTTAAAGCAATCAAAATTGCAGGGAGGAAAATTCAAAGATTTTGACACGCCTTAGCAATTTCATAATCCATTTCCACAACCCTTATCTTAGGGCTACCATAAACCGGAAAAAACTTTTCGATTCCAAACATACATATAATTGCAAATTCAGAATTTGGTGCCCGATAAACTCCGAATGTGACAGAAAGCAGTTGAGATTTTTCTCAGTGCAACTATAGAAACATGAATTGTATCTCTGCTTCCATAGCATGATCGTATAACAATAATTACCAATTAAACAAAATAAAAAGAGGCTACATATCTTAATTCTAACCAGATAATCAAGCTAAGTAGTTGGATTACACACCGGACTGAAGGTGCTGTTGTTGATGCTTAGGAAAGACATCTCATCAACTTTAGGCCTAAACACAGCAAGCTGGGCATCATTTCCGGTGAGCGAAAGCCGCTTGTCACACGGAGAAAGTTGAGTCTGATTAAAAAAGAACTTGTCTTTTTTTGAAAATGCAAGGCCAAAAGTAAACCCATCTAATCTCTGGATTTTTGCATCTGAGCATGGATCATAAACACTGTTTGTATCAGCTGCATCTCCAACAAATACATACATCGTCATCATTACCATCATCAATGGTGTGACCATGATCGTGTTCTTCTTCTTCTTCGCCATTGTTATCTTCCCCATGACGGTCAGATCTTGATCACCTTCACCAATTCAAATCGATTAAATGATGAAAATAACAGGAGGAATAATGTTGTAAAGAAATATCCGTGACTTCTTCAAAGAAGGAATACATTTGTGACGGTTAACACAATGTGCCTTGCTGTTTAATTATAGCACAGTGCTCCTAAGTCATAACATTGATATCATGAACAATCCAGGATGAAAAAGACAAGAAAACTCGTAGAATTTTATTTTTTATGGTTAAAAACATCTGGAATTTAAAATGCTTGAACGCAATGATACCAAATTATGATACATTGCAAGATTCTCAAACAATAGAGGCCGATTGAGCCAGTTGATTAGAGCAATGTGAATGGACGTCTTTGCACCTTGAAATTCTCCTATAAGGCATGCATGGATTACAACAAACTCAACAAATATATAAAAAGGACTAAATTATAAAACGTACCGATATGCAAAATGGTGAAGAATGTTGTTCCAATGCCTCACAAAGTTTTGCAGCAACAATTGTAAGGAATTACATGTGAAAAATAAACAGACATTCAAAAGTTCTCATAAGGGTTTCCACGAAGAACCTCGGATTGCGCTCCTTTGGAATTGTTTTCATTCGATACACGCCAAACGGTTATTTCGGCAGACTACCTGGATCTTGTCTATGAAACGGTTATGGAAGTTTGGTAATGCGGGGCAGGCATACCAAATTTTTAAGGAAAAAAAAGGGGTAATTTCAAAATTTTCCCCTACATTTTAGGGGTTTTTTTTTTTATTTTTTTATTTTCACTTTGATCCTTTATTTCATCTCAAGTTGGTGCCTGAATTTTTAACAATGTATCTAATAAGAACGAAAAGCGACTTTTTTTGCTTTTTGTTTTTTGATGGATTGGAACAAAAGGTGATCGACTTTTGATGGAACATTTCGATAACTCAACTGTTTGACCAAAATATCTTTTATCTATTAGCACGAATCACTTCTATATTCGTCTTGCTGATCAATGATTATTACAATATCGGATAACCTCATGATATATTTAATTCCGCCGATAGATGTTTGCAAATGAAATCATTGTCTCTTCAACACGGCCGCTGATTCAGTAGCATAGGCTGCAATAAAAGCTCGGTGTCATTATGTTAATAAAAAATAGCTTGGTGGTATGTTAACGAATTGGTACATATTTATGCTAAAAACAAACAAAATCAACCAACCAGTCAACCTAAATATGCCAGTTTGGTATGAAGTTGTGTTTTATAACTGCCACTAAAACTGACTAAATTTCAGATTCACTAAACACTTTATCAACCTAGAACCCAATTAATTCTTTCATCCATCTCTTTCTCCCTCATCTCTCTTTGTGGTTGGAGTAAACACTCACAGTTTGGTGCCGGTGTGAAAAGTTTCATTGTTAATATAGTTGACGCCGTACATGGTCAGTTCGCACGAAAACAACCGACTTGTAATGTGCATGCCACTAATCATGTCAACTTTTTCGAACTTCAGGTGGGATAAAATAGTTGGAGGATCAAAGTGGAACAAAAACTAAAATTGAAGGACAAAATTTGTAATTAAGTCTAATAATAAGTAAATAATTGAATATATGTACTAAAAAAAACTTAAAGTGATTTCCCACCCTCATTTTTATTTTTATTTTCTGCACTGGGTTCCCTCTTTGTTTATTTTTTTTATAAGGCTTTTTTTTTTTTCAATAACCTAATTTCAACGGCTTAAGAAAAATATGAGTTCATAAAGAGAAACGAGAGTGAAAAAGTTACATCCCATACAAATAATGGAAAACTAACTAAAAACCCCAAAAAAAATTCATTTTAATCATTAGGACAAAATTTTGCAAAAATGCCGATCTTGCCCCTCACACATATATACAAGATTGCTCAGTATTCAGCAATGTTCATAGCAAAGTTCACATGATTTTTCCAAAGAATGCATCCAAAAAAAGAGAAAAGAAGACTGACATTTTCAGATCACATTGGAATACAAAAACCAAGGTGGCAAATATTGCAGCAGCCAAGACAACATGGATTCACATGACCTTCATTAAAGCAAAGACAAGTCAGCTAGATTCTAGAACCAGTGCTGACAGCTTTCAGAAACAGTGTGCTGTCACTACTCAAAAAGTTGTAAATAGATGGAAAGTTAGTTTGTTGTTTAGGAATTAGATTTCTAAATAAGGGAGCTTTTTCTCCCATGTAGAACACACGAAACAACACAGCAGAGACACACCATACACACACCATCCTTCAATCCTCATACACTCAAGTATCCAAAACCTTCCAAGCATCCTTTGTAAACATTCCTTTGTAAACTTCTCTTTGTAAACATTCTATATATCAATAAAAGTTCAAGTGTACATATTCAAGCAATCTCCAAGTCTTAAGTAAATTTTCTTTTCTTTCTTTAGTGTGTTTGTTTAATTAGACTTCTAGTCTAAAACAGGGAAACACTATTGTAGTTATATTATTAACCTGCTAAACTGACGATCATACTTTGTTCAAGCACCCTGTTATAGTTGAATGCTTGTCATACAAGTAACTAGATATTAACCAAGGTATCTCTGAGTTCTTCGGAGTTCAGCCTTTAAGGCCTTATACTTGTACTATGAGTGGCCGTCATGCTGAAACATGTCGAGTTCCATGTGCAGGGTTTTATGTCTAGTTGTTATAATGTTCATCCGACTATTTAACCGGGCTTCCGTTGCGAATCTGGTATCAGAGCTAAGTTTAGCATTTTAATAGTATAATTATAATAGTAAAGTACCTTGAGGACGGAAGTCATTAACACAACTAATATCACATTTGTTTATTGTGTATGAACAACAAATATTATTGTCCTTGTAGACCTTGTCAGCCACAACCACCAGGTATTTATTGTCCCAGACATCCAACTATAAATAGCATAAAGAGAAGATTAGCATATATATCCAAAAGAATTACCAGTAATTTGAAGAAGCAGAAGTCTTGTCTTGGTTATCTTGAATATCCTTCATTTATTCGTAAATATAATAACACAGAACTGCAGCATAAAGTTTTAGAAGCAAAAAGAGCAACAGATCAAGTTTTAGAGACCTTGAGAGAAGAAAGAGAGTTTCTAAGAAACTAGTTAGCCGTAACTCTAGAGAAAGATAGATTATAGTTTATGATAGATTATCTTAATTTAGAAATTAGTGAACCTCAAAAAAAAAAAAAAATCCTTAGACCAAAATAGTTTAGTTTGTTATTTTCCATTTAAAAAGCATAATCATATTTTGTATAGTGAAGAAAATCCACAAGCCAATAGTATTATGGATCTTATTATTAGTCAAGCAGAAAATATAAAATTAGAAAATAATAAGCATAATCATTTGTTAAACCAGTTGTTAGAGCATTTTCAGAAAAATTCCATAAAAACAATTAGACAAAATTTAGACTATATTACATCTCAATTAAAAGATAATAATAAAAATATTCAAAGGTTTCCTAGCAAAAGAGAGATAAAATAGCTTGTTGACCTCATAGATAGTAAGCCGAAAGAGTTGAGTGAACAAATACAATTAGAAGTTCAAATTAGAAGTTCAAAAATTAGAAGTTCAAAAAAATTCAATTAGTTCAAAAAAATTCACTGGAAATAGTTGAGCAGTTAAAATTAGAAGTTCAAAAAATTCATTGAGTGCCAAAAGAGTTGAGTGAACAAATACATAACTTGCATAATAAAATAGATAAATTATTAGTTTAATGACCGATTCTAGAACTAGCAGAAAATATATCCAAGCTTTGAAAGAAATTAGTAAGTTAGATAAATAACCATTAAGTTTAACAGATTTTTCAACACAAGTATCTAGTAGTAATATTCCCATTAGGCAAAATAATTTAATTATTCAATTAGTTTTAAGTTTGGCTGAAAAATTAGATCAAGTTGAAGAATAAATAGCAGAAATAAACCAAGTTTTACATAATGCATCTTCATCACTTCCACTATCTTTGCTAGATAAATTAGAAAATTTAACTTTAAGTGCAAATAATAATATTAGAATACCTACGCTAAATCCTTTTGATAATATAAAATTGAACTCTTTAGGAAAAAAAGGAAAAGAAGTAGTTAAAGCTGAAGATATTTATCCTAATGAAGAAGAAGCACAAGAATTTATTAGAAGAGGTTTTGAGAGAACACAGAAAAATAAATATAATTTGTATCAATTAGGTTTATTTGAAAACAGAAGTAGAATTGTAAGTAGCATCAGTCAACATGAAGTTAGCTGTATCAATAAAGAAGTTATACTTAATTTAATTAGTAAAGAAGCAGTTACTCATTTGAGAAAATCACATTTTAGTTAGATTCATATAGGAACAATATTAATTGGAATAGCAGGATTAACAAAAGCACAAGTAGGTACAAAAGCATTAGTATACATATATGATGATAGATGAGATAATCACCAACAAGCAGCAATAGCAACAGCTGAAGTAGACTTAAGTTCAAACTTAGCAGTCATAGGTTATATTCCAAATTATGTTATGACAATTAATGAATTTAGTAAATATATTAAAGTAAGCATAAGAACAAAAAATTACGATATGAAAGGAGAGTATAAAAATTTATGTATTAGCTTAATGTATATTGGTAAAGTGTCTGATAGATATAATCATAAGTTTAATTTAGAATTTCAAAATTTAGTGAACCCGGGTTTCAGATTGCGCCGTTGGAGAGGGTGGAGAATGTGGAGAATGTGGCGGTCCGGGTTTCAGAGTGAACCCGTCGAAATGTTTGGCGGTTAAGTCCGGTGGGCTCGAGGAGAGGCGAGCGACGATCCAATCTTGGGGTAGACTCAAGTATTCTCGGTGGTGGGATAGCCACACAAGCCCAAAGAATTCGAGATGGCTTCAGGAAAATCTTACAAAAAAGCAGTGGAAGACCTCTTGAAGATAAGGATTTTTTATTATTATTATTAATGATATGATGACTGTCTACCATCTGCCAGCCAAAAGAAAGAAAAACAAGGATGGGGAAAGCAAAAGCAAAAGAAAAACAACCAGGCCGAAAGCAACTAGGCCATCCCTTCAGCATTAAAGGAGCCACGTGCTCCACCGAGGCCACGAGTGAGCTGCGGGAGACAAAAGCAAAAGCAGAAAGTAGAAAGAAAAGCAGAAAAAAAAAAAAAAACAAAAAACAAAAAAACAAAAGCAGAAAACAAAAGCAATCAAATGAGCTGCAGGAAACAAAAGCAAAAGCAAGGAATAAACACCCCACCAGAATGATGTAATTTATTTTATCTTTCGGAGACATTTGTATAAACCCCATCAGAGGGTAATATGGATAAATCCCATCAGAGGGTAAAAAAAAAAAAAAAAAAAAAAAAAAAAAAAAAAAAAGGCAAAGCCCAAAATAAATGGGCTGGCATGTTGTGGAGGACGAAGGCCCATAAGCCCAAAATAGCACCAACCAGGTGACCAAAAGTATGCCCAGTACTCCAAAAAATTATTCGGCAACTTGCCTCTATTATCACCAACCAAGTGATCAAAAATACACCCAGTACTTCAAAATTATACATGAGCACTACTCATGTCATTCGTACATAGACATTCATGAGCATCACTCATGTCATTCATACATAAACATTCATGAGCATCACTCATGACAATCATACATAAACATTCATGACCATCATTCATGTCA